AGTTCACTGAAAAAAATAATGCAACCACTCCTGAAATGGTTGCAAGTTACGAAAATAGTTATAATGAAGCAGATTGAGGAAAAGTGGTCCCTATGTCCTCCGGCAGCCTAGCATGTAGCAGCATAAACATAGAAAATAGCTCAGGATACCTAACTAGTTTGGATAAGCTATGAGAAAGAGCCAAGGATGAGGCTGTTCCCCCAACTTTTTTCTACTTCTCAAAAATAACAATTCAGGTGTATATTCCTATCAATGGTAGGAGTTACTGCGATCTCTAAAAAGGCTTCTATGTTGAGGGCCCAAATATGTGAATGAGGGAGTGAGACACCTGTCTCCAATATGAGTTGATTAGAAGAGCTCTGTGGAGCTCAGCTGGATGCCAGGTAGTTTAGCCCTTAATTCAGGCAGATTTATAACAAAAAGTGGTTTTACATCAGTTTGTAGAGGTTATTGTTTTTGTTTAATATTAACATGTGATTGCTCATCTGAAACGTGTGTACAGTAAAAATAAATCAAAGAAAACTCTGATAAACATGGTGGGTATACCTCATCATTATATGCTCTATTTTATTCTTTCAGAACCAGATAATAGGCTCTTCTGAAGCCTTTCGTGTCTGCGTGCAGGTAAATGATGTCAGGCGTGTGGGAAGCGGTGGATGGTGGCGTATTTTTATTTATGGTATGGCAGGCCAATTTGCCATTTATTTGCTTGAATGACTACGTTATTAAGTTATCTAAAATAACATTCTTCTAATCTAAAATAAACAGGTATCATAAATGTAATTCTTACTAGTAAAAATGATGTCATATTTCCCATTCATTTGTATCGGGCTTTTACTCCCAGATATTTAAAATAACATTCTCCCGAAACATTACATAAACATTCTGGATGTCTAAAATTTTATTCGGACGAGGATAAACTCGAATTTCAGATCTCCATAATCAAGTTACTACTAGTCATAATTATGATTTCAGATATAAAAAAAATATTATAACATTCTAGGCAACCAGATATCTAATTCTTAACATGAAAGATATAATGCTACCAGTAAAAATGTCATTACTGTTGGGAGCTGAAGAAAATCCCATCTTTCTCCAGCAGAGTCCGCCGTGGATCCTCTGAGGGAGCCTCCTGCACAGGTGCAGCTCATCAAGACCATCAGAGGATCCACTATATAAGCTGCCTTCAGACCTTGCCTCAACGCCGCAGTGTTGTTCCAGTTGGTCAGCGCTAAAGCCTTGCTCCTTGTGAATCTCCATGACTTTGAATCCAGATTGGATTCTAACTTCTCTCTCTGTGTTCCTAGGAAACCAGAGTCTCCTCTGTGAAAGCTCTAGGAGAGCTAACCTGCCGAGCCGACCCTCTGAGCCAAACCCTGAAGACTTTCTGAGAACCCCCAAGCAGCTCAGGACTAGAGCTGGAAAAACCAAACCAAGGTCTGTACGAGCTAGACGTGAGACGCTGAAGCAGCTACGGACTCTGCTGATAAACTCTTCTCCAGAACCAACAGAAACTCCCCCAAGGAGAATAACTCAAGAACCCTCAAGGTACTATCTGAGCTCACCCCTGAAAACCAAACCCTGCCAGCAGTTCATAACAGCTCTGTCTCTCACGCAGACTCCAGTGAAACCAGGACCCAGGCCCGAATCAGATTCCAGTACATTCTGTGTTTGTGCTTTAATAAACTGTTAAACTTTTATCCTTGTGTCCGCCTTGTGGTGTTCTGCATAACTGGGTCTCCATTTGAGAACCCATCATGACAATTACAGATACCAACTACTTATTATATGACGAGTGAAGTTAGAAATCCAGGTATCTGAATTCTAGTAATACCTACCCAAAATGCAGTTTTAGATCCTTTCAAAAATAACAATGGGGTTCCGTCTAGACATTAGATATGCAGGCTTACTAGTCACATTTCTATTATAGATAGCACTAAAGCATTCCACACAGTCACAATTACAATACTCCCAGTGGGAATTGTAATATAGATATCATTAACTACATTTCTGCCAGTAGAAATTTCCTTTTAAATAATCTGGAATCAAATTTGTAAAAGTAAGTTTCAGATATCTGTCATGGTTTTGATTCTGTTCAAGTTTTCTCTTTGAGTTTTTATTGTTTGATTTCCATACTGTTTTATTCTAGTAATTTTTGGTTGTATTTGTAGGTATTTTCTTTTTGCTCTCTGGTGCCCTCTTGTGTCATTCTCCTTTCCCCTAGCTCCCTTCTAGTTCCTCTGTCCACATCTGCTCCCAACCTGCTTATTAGCCTAGTCTTTTTTTCTGTCTCCCATATATACACCTCCTGTTCAGTTACTTTGCTTTTTCATCTCTGTTTCTTTGCCCTTTTTGTGTGTATTCCTGGTTTTCAGAATTTTGTGGCTTTACGTTTTTGGACTTTTGCTTCTGTTGCGACCTTTTAATATCAAATCTGCAAGAAATCACATTCAGCTTCAGTCTCTGCATTTAGGTCCTCCTCTCAAACCTTCACCCAACCTGACAATATCTACAAATCTTTACTCATTTCAAGAGGCTGTGTTAACATATTTGCTTGACTGGACATATATTCCAGATATATTTAATGCTATTCTTCCTTTCTAAAATGAACATTTCAGATATCTGAAATGTGATTCCTACTAGCACAAATTAGGTCAGTTTCCCCATTCATGTGTATTGTGCTGTCACTTAAAGATATCTGAAATAAAATGACTCCTATCTAAATTAAAAACTTTGGATGTCTTGGAATAATTTCAGACCACTTTAATCCAGTTGTTATTGGCCAGAATTTGTTATTCCAGATATAAAGAATGAGGAAAAAATTGCAGATATCTAGAGTATAATTTCTGATATTTAAAATATATTTTTACTAGTAAAATGTCATTATAGATATCCACAGCTGCAGTTTTACTAGCAACAATTTGGTTGTGAATGACCATAACTAATGTTCTTCCTTTCTAAATTAGAAATGTCTACTTTTACGTAATTAGGGTTAGGCAGAGATGGGAAGTAACGAAGTACAAATACTTCGTTACTGTACTCAAGTAGATTTTTCTG